CCGCTCCAGCCCTGCCATGGGCAGGGACACCTCCCGCTGTTCCGGGCTGCTCCAGCGCTGCCCTTGGGCGCTTGCGGGGATCCGGGAGCACCCGCAGCTTCCATGGGAATTCCATCCTGGAATTCCTTCCCGAGAATTCCCCCAGCTCCCCTTTCCCCTCCTCAGTGCCCGGGGGGGTTTGGGGGGTGCGGAATCGACCCCGGGGGCAACCGGGGGCGGAAAGAGCCGGAATCTGTGGGGGGGGCAGAGCCTGCCGCTCCTCAGTGTCCCCACAGTGTCCCCACAGTGTCCCCAGTGTGTCCCCAGTGTCCCCTCAGTGTCCCCAGTGTCCCCAGTGTCCCCAGTGTGTCCCCAGTGTCCCCTCAGTGTCCCCAGTGTCCCTGTCCCCGCAGGAGGTGCTCCAGTGTCCCCAGTGTCCCCAGTGTGTCCCCTCAGTGTCCCCAGTGTGTCCCCAGTGTTCCCCCAGTGTGTCCCCAGTGTCCCCAGTGTGTCCCCAGTGTCCCCAGTGTCCCCAGTGTGTCCTCAGTGTCCCCTCAGTGTCCCCAGTGTCCCTGTCCCCGCAGGAGGTGCTCCAGAACCACGTGCTGGAGGCTCAGGTGTTCCACACGGAGTTCGGGACGGGCGTGGCCATCCTGACCGGGGCCCTGCGCTTCTCCCTGGCCACCAACATCGAGGACCTCAAACTGCGCCGCCTGCCCGAGGTCCCTGGTGGGTGGCACCTGTCCCCCTGTCCCCCTGTCCCCCTGTCCCCATGTCCCCATGTACCCCTGTCCCTGTCCCAGCTGTCCCTGTCCCTGTCCCAGCTGTCCCCTGTCCCTGTCCCAGCTGTCCCCTGTCCCTGTCCCAGCTGTCCCTGTCCCAGCTGTCCCTGTCCCTGTCCCAGCTGTCCCTGTCCCCGCAGGGCTGCAGAAGCCCCCGTCCTGCTGGTCCGTGCTGTCCCAGGACAGGGTGACCGTGGTGCTGCTGGCCCTGGGACAGGAGCTCTTCCTGCTGGACAGCACCTCCTGCTCCGTGCTGGTGAGGGACACCTGGCCCTGCTGGCCCCATGTCCCCATGTCCCCATGTCCCCATGTCCCCATGTCCCCACTGTCCCCATGTCCCCATGTCCCCACTGTCCCCATGTCCCCATGTCCCCATGTCCCCATGTCCCCACTGTCCCCATGTTCCCACTGGCCCCACTGGCCCCATGTCCCCACTGGCCCCACTGTCCCCAGGGATGCTCCCAGGTCATTTTCCTGTCCCCAGGGATGTTCCCAAATCCATTCCATGTCCCCAGGGATGTTCCCAGGTCCATTCCCTGTCCCCAGGGATGTCCCCAGGTCCATTCCCTGTCCCCAGGGATGTCCCCAGGTCCATTCCCTGTCCCCAGGGATGTTCCCAGGTCCATTCCATGTCCCCAGGGATGTTCCCAGGTCCATTCCATGTCCCCAGGGATGTCCCCAGGTCCATTCCATGTCCCCAGGGATGTTCCCAGGTCCATTCCATGTCCCCAGGGATGTCCCCAGCTCCTCTCCCTGTCCCCAGGGATGTTCCCAGGTCCATTCCATGTCCCCAGGGATGTTCCCAGGTCCATTCCATGTCCCCAGGGATGTCCCCAGGTCCATTCCCTGTCCCCAGGGATGTTCCCAGGTCCTTTCCCTGTCCCCAGGGATGTTCCCAGGTCCATTCCCTGTCCCCAGGGATGTTCCCAGGTCCATTCCATGTCCCCAGGGATGTTCCCAGGTCCATTCCCTGTCCCCAGGGATGTTCCCAGGTCCATTCCCTGTCCCCAGGGATGTTCCCAGGTCCATTCCATGTCCCCAGGGATGTCCCCAGGTCCATTCCATGTCCCCAGGGATGTCCCCAGGTCCATTCCATGTCCCCAGGGATGTCCCCAGCTCCTCTCCATGTCCCCAGGGATGTCCCCAGGTCCATTCCCTGTCCCCAGGGATGCTCCCCACTCCCCCCACTCTCTCCCACCCCCTCCCTGCCGCTCTCCCAGGCACCAGTACGGATAAGAGCCGAGGGCTGGGTGGCCGGGAAGGGCCCCCCATTCCGAGCACGTCACTTGGGGGGTCACCCTGAGTGTCCCCCGGTGTCCCCCGGTGTCCCCCCTGTCGTGGCCAGGCTCCCCCCGGGCTGAGCCCCTCGGCGGGGCCGTTCCTGCACATGGCCGTGTCCTTCACCCACCGGCACCTCGCGCTCTTCTCCGACTCCGGCACCGTCTGGATGGGACCAGCCTCGCTCAAGGTGAGCCCCCCTGGCCTGGGGGTCCCTGGGGGTCCCTGGGGGTCCCTGGGGGTCCCTGGGGGGGTCCCTGGGGGTCCCTGAGGGTCCCTGGGGGGGGTCAGACCACCCCCCATCCCAGAGCTGCTTCTGGTGCTTTCCCCGTCTCCAAACCCAGCTCCTTTCCCTTTTCCTTTTCCTTTTCCTTTTCTTTTCCTTTTCCTTTTCCTTTTCTTTTCCTTTTCCTTTCCCTTTCCCTTTCCCTTTTCCTTTCCCTTTTCCTTTTCCTTTTCCTTTTCTTTTCCTTTTCCTTTTCCTTTTCCTTTTCCTTTTCCTTTTCCTTTTCCTTTTCCTTTCCCTTTCCCTTTCCCTTTCCCTTTCCCTTTTCCTTTTCCTTTTCCTTTCCCTTTCCCTTTCCCTTTCCCTTTTCCCCCCTTTTTTTTACTTTTTTTTCCCTTTTCCCTTTTCCCTTTTTTTTTCCTTCTTTTTCTCTTCTTTTCCCTTTCCTTTTCCTTTTCCCTGGCACTGGAATATTTCCCACCTTTCCCAGAGCTCTGTTCCCTTCCAGAGCCACAGCTGGAATCTCCCAGACCCCTCCAGGTGTATCCCAGACCCCTCCAGGTGTATCCCAGACCCCTCCAGGTGTATCCCAGACCCCTCCAGGTGTATCCCAGACCCCTCCAGGTGTATCCCAGACCCCTCCAGGTGTATCCCAGACCCCTCCAGGTGTATCCCAGACCCCTCCAGGTGTATCCCAGACCCCTCCAGGTGTATCCCAGACCCCTCCAGGTGTATCCCAGACCCCTCCAGGTGTATCCCAGACCCCTCCAGGTGTATCCCAGACCCCTCCAGGTGTATCCCAGACCCCTCCAGGTGTATCCCAGACCCCTCCAGGTGTATCCCAGACCCCTCCAGGTGTATCCCAGACCCCTCCAGGTGTATCCCAGACCCCTCCAGGTGTATCCCAGACCCCTCCAGGTGTATCCCAGACCCCTCCAGGTGTATCCCAGACCCCTCCAGGTGTATCCCAGACCCCTCCAGGTGTATCCCAGACCTCTCCAGGTGTATCCCAGACTCCTCTCCTCTCCCACAGGAGAAATTCTCTGACTTCAACACCGGCATCCGCTCCCCTCCCAAGCAGATGGTTTGGTGAGCTGGGGGATCCCAGGATTTGGGGTTCAGGGATTTGGGGGATCCCAGGGATTTTGGATCCCAGGATTTGGGGATTCCCTCAGGGGATCCCACAGATTTGGGATCCCAGGGATTTGGGGGTTCTCTTGGGGGGATCCCAGGGATTGGGGGTTAAGGGTTTTGGGGGATCCCAGGGTTTTGGGGGATCCCAGGGATTTGGGGATCTCAGGGATTTGGTATTCCAGGATTTGGGGGATCCCAGGGATTTGGGGGATCCCAGGATTTGGGATTCCCAGGGGTTTGGGATTCCCAGGATTTGGGATTCCCAGGGGTTTGGGATTCCCAGGGGTTTGGGATTCCCAGGGGTTTGGGATTCCCAGGATTTGGGATTCCCAGGGGTTTGAGATTCTCAGGGGTTTGGGATTCCCAGGATTTGGGATTCCCAGGGGTTTGGGATTCCCAGGGGTGTGGGATTCCCAGGGGTTTGGGATTCCCAGGATTTGGGATTCCCAGGATTTGGGATTCTCAGGGTTTGGGATTCCCAGGATTTGGGATTCCCAGGGGTTTGGGATTCCCAGGATTTGGGATTCTCAGGGTTTGGGATTCCCAGGATTTGGGATCCCAGGGGTTTGTCTCGGCAGGTGCACACGGCCCCGGAGCCGGCACCGTGCCGTGGTGCTGGCCTGGGAGCGGCAGCTGATGGTGGTGGGAAATTCCTCGGAGAGCATCCGGTATCCTTCTGTTCCTGGGGGTGATCCCAGGAATTCCCTGTTCCCAGGGATGATCCCAGGAATTCCCTGTCCCCAGGGATGATCCCAGGAATTCCCTGTTCCCAGGGATGATCCCAGGAATTCCCTGTCCCCAGGGATGATCCCAGGAATTCCTTGTTCCCAGGGGTGATCCCAGGAATTCCCTGTCCCCAGGGGTGATCCCAGGAATTCCTTGTTCCCAGGGATGATCCCAGGAATTCCCTGTTCCCAGGGATGATCCCAGGAATTCCCTGTTCCCAGGGGTGATCCCAGGAATTCCCTGTCCCCAGGGGTGATCCCAGGAATTCCCTGTTCCCAGGGGTGATCCCAGGAATTCCCTGTTCCCAGGGGTGATCCCAGGAATTCCCTGTCCCCAGGGATGATCCCAGGAATTCCCTGTCCCCAAGGATGATCCCAGGAATTCCCTGTCCCCAGGGGTGATCCCAGGAATTCCCTGTTCCCAGGGATGATCCCAGGAATTCCCTGTTCCCAGGGATGATCCCAGGAATTCCCTGTCCCCAGGGATGATCCCAGGAATTCCCTGTTCCCAGGGGTGATCCCAGGAATTCCCTGTCCCCAGGGATGATCCCAGGAATTCCTTGTTCCCAGGGGTGATCCCAGGAATTCCCTGTCCCCAGGGGTGATCCCAGGAATTCCTTGTTCCCAGGGATGATCCCAGGAATTCCCTGTTCCCAGGGATGATCCCAGGAATTCCCTGTTCCCAGGGATGATCCCAGGAATTCCCTGTTCCCAGGGATGATCCCAGGAATTCCCTGTTCCCAGGAATGATCCCAGGAATTCCCTGTTCCCAGGAATGATCCCAGGAATTCCCTGTTCCCAGGAATGATCCCAGGAATTCCCTGTTCCCAAGGATGATCCCAGGAATTCCCTGTCCCCAGGGGTGATCCCAGGAATTCCCTGTTCCCAGGGGTGATCCCAGGAATTCCCTGTCCCCAAGGATGATCCCAGGAATTCCCTGTTCCCAGGGGTGATCCCAGGAATTCCCTGTTCCCAGGGATGATCCCAGGAATTCCCTGTTCCCAGGGGTGATCCCAGGAATTCCCTGTTCCCAGGGATGATCCCAGGAATTCCCTGTTCCCAGGGATGATCCCAGGAATTCCCTGTCCCCAGGGATGATCCCAGGAATTCCCTGTTCCCAGGGATGATCCCAGGAATTCCCTGTCCCCAGGGGTGATCCCAGGAATTCCTTGTTCCCAGGGATGATCCCAGGAATTCCCTGTTCCCAGGGATGATCCCAGGAATTCCCTGTTCCCAGGGATGATCCCAGGAATTCCCTGTTCCCAGGGATGATCCCAGGAATTCCCTGTCCCCAGGGGTGATCCCAGGAATTCCTTGTTCCCAGGGATGATCCCAGGAATTCCCTGTCCCCAGGGGTGATCCCAGGAATTCCCTGTTCCCAAGGATGATCCCAGGAATTCCCTGTCCCCAGGGATGATCCCAGGAATTCCCTGTCCCCAGGGATGTTCGCAGCTCCTTTCCCTGTCCCGTGGGATGTTCCCAGGCCCTTCCCCATCCCGGGATTTCCCTCACTGGGTGCAGCCGTGGCTCCTTAGCCGGATCCCAGCTTTGTCCTGGATGAGGATTCCCACCTGGTGCCGGAGCTGGACGGGGTCCGGATCCTGTCCCGCTCCTCCCACGAGTTCCTGCACGAGATCCCAGGTGGGATCCCAGGAATTCCCTGTGGATCCCTGGATCCCTGGGAATGCCCAAGGCCGGGTTGGGATGGATTTGGATCCATTGGGATGGTGGGAGCTGTTCCTGCCCATGGATGGGGTTGGAATTGCTGGGATTTAAGGTCCCTTCCAACAAAAACAGGTCTGGGATTTGGGAGCCCCTCTGCTCTGGGAGAGCTGGGAATGTTCCCCTGGAGAAGGGAAAAATCCAGGGAATCCTCAGAGTCCCTAAAGGAGCTCCAGGAGAGCTGGAATTTGGGAAAGGGCTGCAGGGACAGGAGCCAGGGAATGGCTTCCAGTGGGAAAGGGGAGATTGGGCTGGGATCCTGGGAAGGAATTCCCAGATTTCCTGTGGATCCCTGGGAGCGCCCAAGGCCGGGCTGGACTTTGGGGTTGGATCCAGCTGGGACGGTGGGAGCTGTTGGGGTTGGAATGGGACGGGATTCAGGATCCCTTCCCACCCCAATTCCAGGATTCCATGGAGGAATCCCAGCAGGAGAGGCCTGGCTGGGAATGGGATGGGATTTAAGATCCCGAATCCCATGATCCAGGGGATGCCGCCAGCTCCTGGCAGCTCCGCCCCCCTCACCCCCCGTTTATCCCATCCCTGCAGAAGCCAGCCAGGAGATTTTCCGGATCGCGTCCATGGCTCCGGGCGCTCTCCTCCTGGAGGCACAGAAGGAATACGAGGTGTTCCCCCATTCCCAAGGGTCCCGAGGGCCGGGATCCCGGCTTCCCAGTCCCTCCCAGT